TTCTTAAAATCCACTTCCACAGGATGACACTGACTTAATGAAATGTGGTTCATGTCACTAATCTGCACACAGTAACTGCATTTAATAACATTTTTGAGTTTATTGATATTTATTGATGCTCTTGTGGAAAAAACAATTTTAAAAATAGCAAAAATATCATTTTTGATCACACTTGTTTTTATTTTAAATTTATCAAGAAAGCAATAAATCAGAATTATCATAAGAAATTTTTCACAATAAAAGAAACTATAAACAATATTGAGTTTAGTGTTATGACTTTTATGACAAGTCAAAGAAGCACTGCCCTGCATCATGCATTTACAGCATTAATTTAATTAAAATAAAACATTTTGTCTTCAATTTTGAAGTATTACTGGGAAAAAATAAAATTACAAGATTAAAGTCTGAATGTTACAAGAAGTCCCAATAAAATGAGAATAGTTATAATATTTTGAGATTAAAGCAATAATTTTATGACGATAAAGTCGTAGTATTGCGACTTTATCCTCATAATTTTACCACTTTGTTCTTGTACAGCTTTATTTATAATAGTATGACTTTATCCATGTGTTATTTTGATTTTATTCTGATGCACTTTATCCTCATATTACTTCAACTTTAATTTCTTACAATTATATTCACAATAGTATAATTTTATTCTTGTAAGAGTTTAGTATAATCTCATTCTGGAAATATGCCTATTCTCACAATATTTGGACTTCATTTTTGTATTACTTGACATTATTCAAATGCAACTTTATTCTCATAGTACGAATTTATTCTTTATACTACCATTGTAGTAACAGTGTGACGTTATTCTCATATTATTTTGATTATATTCTCGTAACCCTACTATTATTTTCATAACATTATGACTTTATTCTCTTATTTTGTTCATTTTACTTTATTGTGGCTTTAATTCTCCTCCATATTAAAGTATTTAGACTCACGTTTAACTCAGCGACGATGACTTTTTGTTTCTAAACAAGAGACTCTCATCACTCTTAGTCACTGTGTGGAGGAATGAGAGACGATGGGACGTTTACAGCAGAGGCAGGAGGAGAGTCTGAACCAGGATGGACGGACGGACGGATGGATCCTGATACAGCCTGATCTGAGCCTTGGGGCATTTATGGCTGTTGGGGAGGCAGTTTGAGGCGGGGGGACGGGTGGGAGGAGGCATTGTGTGCTGTGTCCGTGCGTTTATAGGATTGAGCTCAAGTTTCCTTTGTGTTTCCATTTTGTTGAGGGATTATGTTCTTTGAGAGAGTTGTGCATGCAGGCAGACACAGAGTGGAGGCGGAGAGGACGGGTGAGGCGGCTGGCGGGGGGCGAGGAGGGAGACGAGGAGGGAGGGAGGATGTCTTTGTTCAGAGCATTGATCATAACAAGACAGATAGCAGAGTGTGTGTGTGTGTGTGTGTGTGTGTGTGTGTGTGTGTGTGTGTGTGTGTGTGTGTGTGTGTGTGTGGGTGTGTGTGTGTGTGTGTGTGTGTGTGTGTGTGTGTGTGGTGGAGAGAAAAGCAAGATGTCAGGACATGTAAACCAGCCCTGTAACAATTTAAAATCAATTTGCCTCCCAAGTAGGATTTTTTTTTGTTGTTTTTCCTCTGAGCGTTTTCCCAGGACTTCGTCCGATCTGAACAGATATCAGTTACATAATCAGGTTTCGTCTCTCTGCCCCTGGAAAGTTTGTCACGGCGTAATTACCCGACACGTTTTCCTGCTCGCCGCTGACATTTGCAGCATCACTGATCAAACACTCATAATGAAGACACAGCAGAAGAGCCGAGGTTGAGGCAGCGCAGTGAACTGAAGCAACAGTTTAACTCCGAGTCTCCTCCAACCCTCCCAAAAAACACAAACCAAGCCCAGCTTCCTCTCACTAATCGATTGGGGATAGATGAAAGTCTGCGTCGTGGTGATAATCCGGGCACTTCAAAGTTTTCCACCGTGTCTCATTTAAAATATACATCCTGGTGTGTTTGCCTGGCTCCAAACCCGCTGGGTAGCCATTGTGCTTTCCTCAACTTGTTAAAACACCACATGGTGCATTTGCATAGGATAACCAACATATAGCAAATCATTTGCATGCCTGAAAGTGCACTTGAGTAACCGTAATTACACGTGACACCAATTACTCTGTTACTTTGTATTAAATTATAATGGAAAATTCCACCAGAGAATTGGAGCCTAATTGCATCTTAATTTGCATAATTTTGCATATTAATCACATCTCAGATGAATAATAATTTTTTTTTTTTATGCATGGTTTAGAAAAATTAAAAAACAGGTTATAAGATAATTTGTAGGCAGAAACTATTACTAAGAACATTTTGGAGTTAATTTCCTCTTGTTAATCATTGCTTAAGTTTAACTATTAACACTCACTTTGAGTGAAAAAAAACCAAAGAAAATATGATTTTCCTCCAAACTTGGTGATTCAATTTAAATATAGAAATGCCAGTTTCATTCAAAAACCACAATTTAAATCTTATTTGTCTCTTTCTTTCTTTCTTTTTATCCTGATCAACACCTGTGCCTGCTATTTGGTGAGGCTCCCTGCCAGCTCCCACAAAAACCAATACCTGTAGCCCAGAATAAATTTGAATTTACAAAAACAACATATTTTCAGATTAAAAAATGCAATCCTCACCGGCACAAAGTTCTTCTAAAAACCCCTCACACTGACAACTTAAATGTACTTTTTAAGGTCTTCCATGAAAGAGGTAAGAAACATTTTAAATCAGCACTTGTTGTCAGAAATAGAGGTTTGGATCTTAATATTTTTGTGAAAGCAAAGCTGCACCGATTTACTTTTTGTTGGAATTTTAATCCCTAGTAACAAAAAGGCATATTTTAAACGGAGCGACAATTTTATAAGTCTCTTTTTAGTGTGTTCTCCGTCTAGACTTTTTAAATTATTCAACCAATTTGATATGATGTAAAACAAGTCGGTGCGGATGTGTGGGAGCCTTCAGACAAATCCCACTGCGACCAAAAATATACAAATAAATTCAGGCGTGTTTAAATTTGCGACTGCTTGCACAGGATTACTGAACAAACCCCAGGCCCCGTGTTCAAACGGACCTGCATCGCACACACTGGAGGTTTTCCTCTCAATATCTTCAACCCTGTTGTCACCCAGAGGCTCTTAATGTGGACAACAGCGCCACTCAGCGGCAGTGGAAAGGAAAAACATGCAGACACAGAACGTCCTGCAGGAAAAGATCACAGCGTAAAATAAGTGGGAGAATATTAAGTTATTGTTTTACACAAAACAAATTTTAGAAACAAACACGGTTGGAGGATTTTTATTTGTTTATTTATTTATTTTTTTAAACTTCTAATAGGTACTTAATGCATGATGGGACACATAGAGCTTTTCCCTTGGCTACTCTTCAAAATGGGAAAGACTACATTTGTATTTCAGGAAGAGCAATAATGACAGAGTTTAACACTGAAACTCTGCCATAAGGATCATTCGATCAATCACACATTTCAGCAACAAGGCGGTTTCAAATTGTGTTACATCATAAAAAAAACAAGAATAACAACCCTTAAAAACAACACAAAGTCAACATTTCAGAAACCAGATGATATTTTGAGGAGTGCCATTATCAAAATTATCGAATCTGTGGGTCGATGTTGAATTTATTGTGGTTCAGAAGCAGTTCTAAGCATTTAAAGGAACTCAGTGCTTCAGCTGTTTTGCAGTTTTCTGAAGGTTTGCTCCAGATGTGTGCTGCATCTGAACACTGCTTCTCCATGTTTGGATTAAAGTTTGGATGGGGTAATAAAATGTGGAAAGCTCATTTTTAGAAACTTGCTGCAAATCTTTAGCAGACGTGCTAACAAAAATGGAGAACATGGCTTTAAGAACTTCGCAATCAGCTTAAATTAAGTTGATGATTTTTAGAAAACTGTCATGAATCTATAATGGATTAGTAAATTAAAGCACTAGAGAGTCAAAGAAATATGACGTGAATCTTATATACTTACTCTAATACTGCAGTCTGAACCGCAGACATCATCAATTCATTGATCAGTTGATCAATCGTGTGTTTTGGCATGTGAGTCAGATTGTGCGCGCGCACAGATGACACGACGTCACTCTGATCAGGTTTTATATTTAAATGACCTCCGACAGCCTTTAAGAAAACAAAACCAAGAGGCCAGAAACGGCTGGTGCAACTGGTCGTTTTCTACTGGTTTTATTGGATGTGACCGACATAAAAAATGAGTTCGCTGCTTTTCACAAACTTTCAAAATGCAGATCCAGTGAAGCCCAATAAATTAGTATTTGTCTCCCCCTGCTGGACACTTTTGGTGAAACACTCTTGCTGCCTTCAATTTGAACAAATTATTTATTTCAAATGCTTCAACTACAAAGTTAAAGATTTTAACATATTTGTGTCGTTCCAAAGTTGTAAAGGACATGTTCATTTACTTAACAAAATAAATATAATTTTACTGAGCAGGAGTTTAAAGTTTGATAACAAATTCGTGAGCTCGTTATAGTAAAAACAAAAAGTCTAAAAAGATTTAGAAGCACGATAGCGCTGCAAATAAATAGGCTAAATTATTACCCAAATTAATAATGTTTGGGATTATAAAGTCTGGGTTTCTTTTCCATAGAAATATAGAAACTCTAAAGGGTTTTATTTTGTCAACAAGATCATTCCTCTAGATTCATGAGATAAAAGTGAAAAGCACCAGACTTTACTATAGAAAGCAAGTAGAAAACATTGAATATTTAATCTAAAATATTTAATCTAATCAAAGAAAAAATGCATTTTGTGCTTCAGCTTTAATTTGTTTACATGCAGACTGAAGTGCATTGATGTTTTCTTATATAACTTGAATTTCTCCGTATTGTTCAAAGTTATCTTTTCTAAAAGTTCCCATGTGGTTGCAGTGGTAGAGTTTCCTACAGCCCCTGAATGCAGCAGCAGTGACAGTCCGCGTCATGTTGACTGAAGCATTGTGGGTAAACCATGGGGTGAATTGCGTAAGGTTACCATCGGCCGGAGAACCAGCGGATGCGGGGAACGGTGAGCCGATTCTTGGCCCAGTCGCCACCGCGATGCAGCGGATCGCCGGCCTCGCTGCACGCCGGGACCTCCGCAGCCTCGCAGCCGGGGCGCAGGCCTGGAGCAGCGGCTCCATCTGCAGCAGGGAGCCGGCGTTCCGGTGCCAACAGCGGGGGAGATTGTGTTCGGGTCCTGGGCGTCCTTTAGGCTCCGGACCCGGGCAGAGATGCTTTGTGTTTGCCGGGGGTGGATGCAGACTGTTCAGCTCCCGGCCAGGAGCCGAGGAGCCGCCGGGGAGCCCCGAATCCCGGCCCCACATCTCTGTGGTGGGCATCCCGGACCCGCTCACCTGGATCCGCTGTAGGATCATTACGCTCCTGATTGAGCTTTACTTTGAGGTGGACATCAACTCTGCAGAGTTTCACAGAGGAGTGAAGCAGGTAAACTACAAGAAATACCTAAAAAAAAAAAAAAAAACTTAAGTTAAACTGCAACAAACTGCATGAAAACTTAAGTTTAACTGCAACAAACTGCATGAAAACTTAAGTTTAACTGCATAAAAGTCTTACTAAGGTCGATGTAGAGTTACATAAATGTGTTTACAATTTGACAATTCATTTCTAAACTCCGGTATAAGAATTTTTTCCAGATCAGTTTCTTTCAATAAAAACCTTGTGAATCTTTTAAGAAAAACTGCCGGTGTGTCTGTGTCTGATGCATTTTGGTGAAAACATGTTTGTTTTTCATTCACTGGATAGAGAATCAAGAAATTTTAGTCAAGTAAAAGTGAAAAGTACAGTGTAGTAAAAATACTCCTAAAAGTCATTTTTTTACTCAAGTAAATGCAATTGAGTAAATGTAAGTAGTTACTATCCAACTCTGACCAAAATAAATTTAGCTAGACGATAAATTGTCCCAGTAATCATTGCAATAAACAATAATATTATTGTTTTGTTTTTTAATACAGTTTTGAAGTAATGTATTGGTAATGGCATAGCGTTCCAAGTTCAGTTTCTCGAAGACGGTAAATGCCACAGATAATGTTTTTTTCACACAAGAGTGGACAAAGGAAGACAAATTTGTTTTTATTTCAACCAGAATCCTAATATTGAGCAATAATGTTGCTACATAAGATTTTTGTAAAATCTCTTATGCAGAGATTCTTCAGCAAGATTTTATTGTGGCTTGTGGAGACATTAGTAAAATAAATGTACTTTTGAATATTTTATTTTATTCAATGTGTTTTCTTTAGGATTTAGATAAGTCGGTGTCGATAACTATTGGTTATCTACTGATATTAATTATGTGTCGATTGTGATATATATTGTTATTGATTAGGCAATAGGTTTCTTTTTTCTCAATAGGTTTCTTTTTTCTGGCTTTGTTTTGGAAAATTCTCCAAAACAAAGCCAGAAATCCGTTAAAATCTTTGGTTTTATTGCCACGAATCTATCTGTGATACAATTCAAATAAAATCATAAGCATTATGAAAAAGATTAGCAAAAAAATTATTATGCCAAAGTCTGATTAAAAAACAAAATTTTAAAAAGTATTTTCTCGTTTTCCATCCCAGGCTTTGGTGCATGTTTCCAGCAAGATGTCCAGAGGGAGATACCACGAGCTGAAAGGGGTCGTGACCGACGAGGTACCACATCTAAGTGACCCAAAATTTACCCACAAAACATTTCCTGATTAGTGGGTTCTAGTCAACAATTTGCAGTAACATCTTATTAAAAACAAAACCTAGAAATCCATTTTGTTTCTGAAGATGAGGGAATATCTGGAGGAGAAGTGCAAACCTCTCACGAAGGTGCAGAGGAGGCAGATCGCCGTCAAAATGGAGGACATCATATTTGTGCTACCGGAGGACATCTCGGTTGTCTTCGATGAATACGGTGAGTTCTCCTGATGTGAAACACTGAATTTTAAAAATTCACTCTAATTCTAAGGCATTCATTTTTGAAAATGTATTTTTTTTTCAATTCACTCTGTATTTCAGAGTGATTTCATTACGCCCAAGGCTGCCATCTTGTTTTAAAACTTCTGTTTATTTGGACTATGGATTCAGGTCAACTCTACAACAAAATATGTAGTGCAGGCTACAATTTATTTTCTTTTAATTATGAGAATAAAGTTCTAATGTTACAAGAATACTCTTCAATGACATTATGATTAAAACAAAACATATATACAAACATTAAGACACAAGAACATGGGCTCATAATACTTTATTTTTGTTTCTTTAACGTAGAAAACAAACATTTAAATCCTGTCTGGAAAACAAACATTTTTTTGGTTTTTCCAGTTCAGGTTAAAGGTCACACTTTCTTCTCTATGGCATCCTATAAGGTCCAAAAATAAACAAAACAAAAAAGAGTAATTGAAGACTACAGATACTATTAAATCAAAACTAAAACATTTATAAACAACCCTTATAGTGCACATCTAAACAAACAGACATCTATGAACAATCCACAGGTGAAAATGTAATTTGAAATAATTTATGGTCCAGTTCAACAAAAATAAAGAGATTATATTAGGAGAATAAAGTTTTATGAGCACTCCATCATAAAAAAAATTCAAATGAGGAATGTTGACGTTATATTTTGCTATGATAGAAATAGTTGCTATTTTTGTTAAGTACAGAAATAGAAAGTTTCTATCATTTCTATATGCACATATGAAAATATTTTCCGTTATTTGTAGTTTCTTTTTTAGGGAAAACTAAAAGGAAAACTGGTCTGAAAAAAATGAGAACATACATTTTAAAACCACTCTCCCTGCAGGTAGGAAGTTCTGCTTCGTTGTCATGAGGCTTTGGTTCCTGTCGTCACACGAGGGTCCAGATGACCCAGAGGGCACCAAAATCTTCAAGGTGGCCTCTGGAGAAGACGGGAGCCCTCAGAAGAAACTGGCAACCGCAGTTTATGAGTGAGTTCACAACTCAAACTGTGAAAAATGTGGAGCAACGCTTAGGAAATATTAGACCTGCGCAACAAGTTTTGCACTCAAAGACCAATGAACTTTAAGTTTGCAAAGAACACTTAACACTAGAACTGAAAATGAAACTCAACAACCAATAAAATTACCCTTCAAACCAGAATTGAAATTATCAAACTGATTTTAATTGATGATGTGTTTAATTGATTAACTGCTTATTGCAACAGGCTTAAATGTAAGTTAGATTAATGACAAATACATACATTCTTCTGCAGAAACAGAAAAATTTTATTAAATTCTCCTAGAGAGTAAAAAAGCCTCTTCACTTCCTCCATGTCCAGGCTCTAATACAGGCGTTCAGAAAGAGCAGAATTCGGTTCAGTTTATGTGAAACTGCTGCTTAAACAAAACGGAGGAAATCGGTTCTCAGACAAAGCCTCTTTCTACTCTTCCCCAGTAATCCAGTTAGTTGTTGGGCCGCGGTGTGTGGCGGTTCTGTCTAATACCGCCGATCTGGTTGGGCAGATTGTTGTCCCTGAGGGTTCAGGTCTGAGAAAGCCTGTTACCTTCTGGCATTATCCTAAAGGCGAGCCGACCGACTGCTAAGCTGGATAAGAAACCTTCTTTCACAATCTTACTGCAGAGAATCGCAGATATATTCACACTCTGAAACTTTTTCACAGTTTACTGTTACAACCAATGACTTCAGGGATTCTGTTGTTGAGTTTTACGTGATAAACCAACACAGTAATTGTGGAAATAAATCAGTTTTTTTATAAGTATAAATCTGAAAAGAATAGGAAGGATTTGTATTCAGCAGGGTTGCTATTAACGATTATTTTAATAATCAAATATTCTGATAATTAATCGATTAATCATAAAAAAATTAGCATATTCTGCAGATTTTTTATTTAACCACATGAGTGGTTAAATAAGGCTTTTTATATAACATTTTTCAGACAATTTCAAATTGAAAATGAATCAGCCTGGATTTTGAAGTCCCTTAGATTTATGTTTTTATGTAGATCTGTTTGCTTTAATGTGTATAGAAATATCTATGAGTAACAATTGTTGTAATGAATAAGATTATTCAAAGCTGGAAATAAATTTACATAGTAAATAATGTATGGATGAAATCAGTGTTTATATACAGTGGCATATCCTTTAATTTATACTCAAATATATCACAACATATATTTATACAGTCTAAATTTCTTGCTATTATTTTGTGTAACTTCTAGGTATGTTAATATTTTTTCATTTTGATATCTAATAATGAAGGTCCATCTGAAAATATAGTACGAATTTATGCAGATCATAGGTTTTTCTTCCTATTTCTCTTTGAACATGTTAAGATTGGTTACAAACGTTATGTGTCTCTCATATTTCCTGCTATGTATGTTTGTTACTTTATACTGCGAACAGTTTTGAAGTAAATAGTAGATTCACATTAAAAGGTGCAAATACATTTACTTCACAATATTTTTTTTTCTTTTTTTTTACAGAATTTGAATCAGGTGAAGCTAAAGTTTTGTTAGGTTCTGAACTGTAACTGAAAAAATAACTTTTTTCCTGTTTTTTCTGGAATTTCAATAAACAAATGAATATAAATCAGTTTTTGCTCCTTTTTAAAAAAACATGTCTGTCTCTATCTCCACAGATTCCACGGAGAGCTAAAACGAGGGACTTCTCCTGATTGGATGGTGACAACCGTCTGGCACTGGCACTGGAAAATGGACGAGTAAATTCACTTTGCAACAACGTCAGGATCAAACCGGAGAACTGACTGCTGAATTGAAATCGTTTGAAACAACGCACATGAAGCAGATTTCACTCATGGGAGAAAAGACTCGGCAGTTGTGGAAAAATATGTCAGGTTTTACATATCAGGACATAAAAACATCTTCAAATTGTTTTAAAATTTGGGTAAATACAACCTCAGGTGAACAATTTTAGGTGTATTGCATCATTTTTACTAAATGTTGGAAAAACATAATTAATCACAGATAATAGAATGGAAAATCATTTACTGTTAAAAAGTGTTGGAAAATTCAGGTGTAACAACAAATATGCTTGTAAATGGAAGCATTAATATTGAAACTACGCGAAGAAATATAAAACCTGAACATATAGATATTAGAAATAAAACTGGAAAAGGTTCTAAAAGGTCTCAAATCACTTAATTGATTTTAGTTTTCAACAAAAGAATTTAAAAAATCTTTAAATGAGTGCTATTATGTACTTTTGTAAAGCTTTATGTCATGTTATAATGTTACTGAGTGCAACTCTGACTCATTCATTGCACAGTTGAGAAATCCTTGAATTTTAAGGTATGACTATGATGCAAAGTCAAATTTCCTTTGAGTTGTTTTTGAAACATAAAGCATCTTCATAGAACTGGAAAAAACATACAGTAGTTACTTGACTGTGCTGTAAAATGGCACAATATGAGTTTCTCTTTTGGTATTTAGCCAAGTTTATTAAATTAATTAAAAGCAGATTTGGGTGAAGCAAAGTTCACTTTTGAGTAAAAGTCTGGTTCTTGAAAAGAATGCAGAAAGCGAATCCTTTGTACTGTATCCAATATTTTACTTGTTTGTGATGATTTTATCCTAATTAACGAAAGAAAGTCTCCATTTATATCAAATACCGTATTTATGTGACTTATACTCTGGTGCGACTTAGATATGTCTTTTTTTGCTTTATTCTGCATCTCATGGCTGGTATGACTTGAACTCCGGAGCGACTTAAAGTCTGGAAAATACAGTACTTGCACTGGGGGCCAAATATGTGTGTTTCAGGAGGCCACAAATGGCCCGGGGCCGCACTTTGGACACCCCTGATTTAGCTGGTCTAAGGGTAAAAATGACTCAAAGGAAACAACCTGCTGGTGTGACGGGACAGACACTGCATCTGCAAAAATTGATCTGAAAATGAAAATTTTGTTCATCTGTTGTTGCTTTTACCTTATTTTAAAAAAGACTGCGTACTTTTACGTTCTCATATGCAAAGCTAAGCATTGGACATGGGTGAGCCTGCTGTAAGCAAACCCATATCCCACTTGAATTATTCCCTTGATGCCTTCAACGCTCCAGAACTAAATGTTGCCACAAACAGCTTTACCTCCACTCTTTTTAGTTAGTTGTTCTTTTTTTATGACTTTACCAACAGAAACCCATTTGACATTTCATCAGATAATTAAGTATGTAATCCCCAAAACAACCTGTAGAGCCATAAACTGAAAAAAAATCAACTGTCTCTTTTTTACTCCATTCTGAATGATTTGGTTCAAACTATTTCACAAAGTCTAGAATGTGACTCAGGACAACTGAGTTTTATTATTTTGAATAAATAAAATGCTTGATCTAAACTGAATATACCACTCCTGTGCTTTATTTTTACACTTCTACTACAAAACATCTTAGTATGCTTGAAAAAGACAAACCAAGTACAAGTTCCATTGGTAGATTATTTAACTCATAATTTGCATTTTTCCATTAAAGCTGCTTGTAAGGTAGTTTTTTTCTTATTTCAAGTATACTAAAATATTTGCACTAGAAATTACACCAAAAATACTTAGCAAAATAAATGTCCAGTGTCCCTTTGATGCGTTCCCCTTTTGAACAGTTTGATATATCTGAATTCAAATGAGGGAAATTTACAATGTCCTGCTGCGTTATGACCAGGTACCTTAACTTCCTGATTTATTTATTTTTTCTTAAATAATTATGATCAGCTGACCATGTGGGAAGCAAATTTAAACTACAAGTGTGCAACTAATTATTAGTTAAAGTAATCAGATAGAGAATGTTAGTTTAAGCTAACATTAAAAATCACAAATTTCATCCAAATGTAACATTACATTTGGATGAAATTTGTGATTTTATTTAAAATGGGAGGTTTTTTTTCCCTCTGAAGGAATTTACCATAAATCTTATAACACATGTAGCAGAATGTTTCTGCCATTTAAAATATATAAAGCATATTTTGAGGCAGAATTTGCACTTTCCTCGATTAGACAGTTGGATTAATTTGTAACACATCTTAATTGTTGTCTTTCAAGGAAGAGAAGTTGGTGTTGTTGATTTTCGGACCAGATTTATGTTTAAGAACACTTCTGTTGAATGGTGTTAGAATGTGTGTTCTTTCCCAAAATGTTAGCTAAAAAGTGTCAAAATAAGAGGATTTAGCATTTATTGGTGTTGCTGGTTGCCCACTTGGGGGCACTGGAGACCTGCAAACATCATCTGCACAGTTTTTCCTCTCATGAAGTGAAAGCTTGAACTTTCAGCATCTCTTTTCCCATTCATTTTTTCCTTTCCTTTTGTCTACAGGTTTTTAAACTCCCTCCTTGTGACACAGACCTCAATATAACTACTACTATAACTCAATATAACAAAACTGGAACTTCAGCTATATATCAGGAAAAATAATTTCAGTCATTTAATCTAAAAGTGAGTGATGTAATTAAAGTTTTTAGAGGGAAAAGTTTGACTTTCTTATCTTTACATTATATTTTAATGTTATTCCGTCATCAAAAACAAAGTATTGCTTTGATTCGTTCAATTTCTGCTGGGAAATTAAATCTGCATACTTTTTAGTCTCAACTTCCTCCAGATTTTCAAAAATAAAAAACTAAATTTCTTCTGCTCTGATCTTCAAAATGTTCATAACTAGCTTCTTTCAAAAGGTCAGTCTTTTAAAAATACGGCATCTTTTCCTGGGTTTCTGGAAATGGATGTTTGATCAATTATTTAAATTGATTGATTTCTCTGATTCATATTTGTGGGTTAGCCATTAAATACCTTACCACCCAATAAATGCATCTTTTTTAACATCTATAATGTTTTTTTATGATGCTACTGTGCTGTAAAATGTAAAAATTTTCTTCTTTTTTTTTTTTGCAAGAGAGAAAATTTGGGCTTAAGAAAATATTCCCATCACTATTTCACCTGATGGTTGATGAACAACAAATTCTCCTCATTGGCTGTTAAATTATATTAGAAATGTGTCACCTGTTTCTGAATACTGTGTCTCATTGCATTCTTCAAACTGGCTCCTGCATTGTTGATAAAAACAAAAACCTGCTGTCATTAACAGCTCCTTCATTCATTTGTAGCGGCAGACATGGAGGATTAGTCTAATTTTTCTGTGTCTGGAAGTTTGCGTGGGTTTTTTATTTTTTTGGTTCCAGCTGAATCTCTCGTGGAGTCGTAACAAGATTAAATGAGTGTTGCTGGCCTGGCTCACGTCAAGACTCGGAAAAAATTTAGCACGCCTGTGAGTCAGTGAAGCACACAAAAGCTGACGTTTTCTCGTAGTTTCTAACTGTTAAATGTTTATTTTGTTTAGATTAGTCGCTGCTGGGTGCCAGCCAGCGTCATTAATTTAATTAATCCAACCCTTCTAATGGGATTAATCTGTCTCACTCAGTTCAATGTTGGTTAATATAATGTCAAAATGTGTTCTCCATAAATCTTTAAGGAATAACATACAAAATATTTAATACAAAATTCTATTTTTGTTGGTCTATATTATACACTGAAAAAAAACGAGTGATCCAACTTTGAAAAAAATTATACACGTGATCAAGTTGTCATCTTAAACAAACGTAAATAGATCTGATCCGACTGCATGCAACAAATTAAATTATCTTTTTGTTTAAGTTGGGGCTACGTTCTCTTTTTTCAGTGTACTTTTATGAGAACTTTACTTTGGGGTTCTCAGAACCTGTGTCATAATCATCAAAAATACAAACACAAAACACATCACTGTGTGTAATGAGATGAGTTGCACTTTTAGTTTAAAATTTCTGAAATGCAGTTATTTAAAAATAAGTAAAAGACAACAAAAGGTGACAGTTTCAATCCTAAAAACATAATATCATTTGTCAAGCAAAGTGGTGCATCATGTTTAGATGTTTTTTCTTTTTTCGGCACAAATTAATGTTATATTTTTCTTATCTCAACAGTTAATAGAAATTGTATTGTATCATTTTCAAAACAGAATAAACGCAAAATATTGGGAGTGCTACACATTCAGATAAAATAATCTTAAATTATCACTTTAGTTTTAATTTTTTTATGCATAATTTTTTACTTGTATTGAAATGCTTACTGATTGTTTAAAATCGGAAGTGATATTTGAGGACCTGAGTGAATGAAAATAGGATTTATCTGGAGATCTGATTTTCTGAAATGGATGTAAAATCATATTATAGTAAATGAAATAACCTTTTGTCACTTTTCAAGGTTTTTTCCTACAAATCAAATTACTCAGTTTTATTAGTTCAGATACTATAATGTGGCTCCGATTGAAGAAAACATTTAAATTCAGGAATTATTTGTGTTCTTTTCTTTTTATTTAAAAAATAGCAACATGTAATTAAAGCCGCAAGCGGCGTTGAGCGGCCCTCGCAGCTCAGCGCTGCTCCAGCCTCCTGCCGACCGTGGGAGCTCTGACGCCGCCGCCCTCCATCCACCGCAGCTGCTCTCGCACAGCTCCTACATCCGTTCACCAGGTGATACGCATTGATGCGATCAGCAGCGCTCCCTGACGACGCACAAAAAATCTGGTGCAGATCGGCCGATGCGGTGAGGAGATATAGCTGATGGATTAACCAAGGGGGCGCAATGGAGTCAAATCACAATGTGATGTTATTGGGCTCTGTAGAGATTCACAAAAGTCAATCATAATGCTGTATGATTCAGAGATGATCGTACGCAAACGGTGAGGTATTTGGCCATGGTTCAGCCAGCAATCAGCATTGACAGAATTCATCATCATGTCATTGTATGTGACAGATTTAAAGCTAAATGAATCAACGAGTAAAAGTAAGGCATCCAGTAGAAAAAAAAGGCGACTTCCTGTTGGAAATGGGGCAGGGCTCATGTCATCAGTTGATCATGTGAATGTGATCAGGGATGGCTTATAATGAGACATAGAAAGTGTGATGCAGCTGTGACCTTATGTGTGGAAGTTATTGCACCTTGATATTTCATGGCGAATAGTCAAAGTTTGACACTTACCCACGCCCACATGCTTTGATGTACAATCCTGTGATAACTTTCAACTTTCAATGTCTCAAGACTCTCCTGAGTGATTTTGAAGTCTGTTTCTCAAAAACTGTCCGACAAATTTGATCAGATACATCTATAAAAAAGAAGAATTAGCAGCTTTGACCCAAAATGGCCGACTTCCTGTTGGGTTTGGACCATGGCTCTAAGAGACCTTTTTGTAGGTCCTGACAAGAAATACATGTGTACCATGTTTCAAAATTCTGGATTAAAGCATTGCTTGAGGCTGTCACGTAAAAACTTCTAGGGAGTGCTGTTGAGAAATTAGGCCACGCCCACTAACGAATGTTATGGATTCCTGTTGGGGTGTGGATAAGGATCAATCCTAGTGAGTGTGGTGCAGTTCGGCTTGGAACTGTGGAATTTAGAGCCAAAAGTATGGCAACGACGTTACAGACATGACACTTCCTGTTCTCAGGGGGTGTGGCATTGTAGGCACCCGATGATGGTCAAACGCTGAAAGAATGGTGCCTGTGTGAGTTTTTTGTGTTGGAGATATAAGTTTTGTGTTTCGTGGCGAGCAGGCTCTACAAGTGTACCAAAATTCATGTCTCTATGATGAAGCAAGGTCATTCTGAAGGGTGTTTTGAAAGTTGCTAGGTGGCGCTGTAGAGCCGTTTCTTATGCAATTTTTGCAGCGATCTTAAAATACGTACATTTTTTGCAGACGACGCATATTCCAAGTTTGGTGAGTTTTTGAATATAATAAAGCCTCCAGAAACCCACCACTTTAGAGTGACAGAATCATAAAAATAAACAGTCCTTTGCAGCACTTTGCTGCTTGGGCCTAATTATGAATAATTTTTTTAAATAGCATTTAGTTCCTTTAGTGTCTGACGGAAAAGCTCGACAGAAACTTCTCCGTTGGGTTTCTTCATGGACGCCAGCTTCCACGCCTCCTCAAACATCTCGTCAGAAATGCTCACACCGATATTTCTGAAAATCTCCTCAATCTGTGATGGAGAGATTAAAAAGAGTTAAAAAGTACAGCAAGATGGAGTAAGTGTAATTGAGCAAATGTAAATAGTTATACCCGACTCTGAATATAAAAGCAAAAAACGACTTTATGTTTGCGACTCACCTCCTGTTTGGTTCGAGGACTGAAGAAATGCTTTGCGTCAACTCCATAGAGATCATGCATTGATGGCTGCAGGAGCTCTGGAAGTGTGGCTAAATCCCCGTAGTCCGTTCTGTCGTTGATTCGTCTCATGAGTGGAGGTAGAAGGTCATAGCGTATGGATGGGATCCCGTAGGTGCGACCACCTGAAAAGGAAATAGTTCAAATAAGGAAACTGATCAGTTATGGTAGCCGTAAATAGAATTGAAATTAGGTCAACATAAACTTGGTTTGATTAATTTAACCTTTGTCTCATTCAGTGATAAACAAATAGTGTGATGGCTGTTTTTTGTGTTAGTTGGGAGTGTAAAATACAATTAATTCTCTCTTACTTCATTTTAGGGTTTCATGATATTATTGATGATTAATCATTTTTTTTGTTTTAAATATCTGAAATGCTGACAAACTGGCAATGTGGCCTCCACAGTTTTCACTCCGCTGTTTCTTATTTTTAAGCAGTTTGGAGGCATGGTGGTGGAACCTGAAACTGCTGCTGCGCAAGTTAACTCAACAGGTTGTTGCTAGGCAACCAAAGAGTGAGTAAGTGGTTGCTAGGTAACCAAAGAGTGAGTGGAGTTTCTTGCTTGTCAGCTAACTGTGAGAGGTTGAGCGGCTGAGGCCTTTTCCTCTGCCTACGTCCCCCAGAATGCTGTGCGGTTCTGAATAAATTCAGTGATATTCTAGAAAATTCTGTCAAACTTTATTATCCATTTGTATTATGTCTCTATAGCAAGATATATTCTTATTGATTTATTGCTTAGCCCTATCTACTACTATTAAAGCTTTGGTTAAATCAATGACTAATGATTATATTAGCACTTTGTAGATAATTTATGGTAAATACACAGTATCAGTCAAACCAAAAGCCCTGCTCTGGACTTACTAAGTGTGGGCAGCTCATCACTGGTGGAGGATACAAAGTCTAAATCTGGTCTGGGTCTCCTGATGGTCCTGATAACATTCTTTGAGCTGCCTGGCTCCAATGGCACCAAGTCGTCAGGCCCGTACAAGGACAGTGAGGGAACAAATTTCGATAAATCCGATGATATCTTCTCGTTCATACTGATTGGAGGTAATCCGTAATGAGTCTCTGCAGGAGAAAAGAAACAACACCAGAAACTTAAAACTGAATCAGAGATGAAAAAAATAATTTTTAACTCTGTGTAAGGGACATTATGTGGTGTAAAGCTGAGCTTAAGTCTTCTTTCACTGACCACGGAGGGGCATCATGTCCTTAAATGTTAGAAAATTAGCAAATTCTATGAAGTTGAGGAATCCATCTTTGTCTACATCGCAAAACTCCATCACGCCATCCAGAAGTTTGCCATTCAGGGTCAGGTTGAACTCACGACAAACTACCCACAGATCTTCTTTATCGATCAGGCCCCTTCCTTTCTGAAAAGCAAAGAGAAATACCACAAACTTTTTCTACTAAGATATTTTTACCTAACAATAACCAATAACTCTACAATGCTTCCAAATGTGTGGACTAAATGTGTTATAGCAGGTTGGAATAAAGTCAATATGATGGCTTTCATATTTGGGTTTAATAGTGATACATACATATTGCAGCACATTTTAAAGCAAACAACACTTTATGTGACTTTCTTGAATCCTGAAATTATTGTTTAAAAGTTTGTGGAATAATGGAGCCAAAATTACAGCAGAAAACAATTGGATATTGTCCACCATGAGCAGAACTGCATCGTAACTTTACTGTTAGCTTCTTTCAACATAAAACTTATGAAATTTTAACAAAAACTGCAGGTTTTGTGTCTGTTTCAGGTGAATTTTTGGTGAAAATAAGCAAAATCTTCAGAAAGTGAAATTACGGTGGGTTGAGTAACCAGAAATTTTACTCCAGTAAGAGTAACAAAACTTCATAATAAGATTACCCAAGTAAAAGTAAAAATTACACCATAAGAATACTCCTGAAAGTTTTTTTTTTTTCAAAAAAGTTACTCAAGTAAATGTAGTGTAATAAATATAATTAGTTACTACCCCCAAAGAATCAAAACCAACAATGTATCTTTGTCTACAACAAAGATGGCTGATATAAAAACACATTAAAGAGGGTAAATCACCGATTAAGAAATCTATAGTTTATATTGACTAAAGCTGTGATAGTGAGATTATTTTGGACCACCTTTCCTCTACTGTATATGTGAGATGAAAATAAGACAGAAAACTTAAATACTTGCCTGTATTAGTCTCATCCATACCTTGTCATAATATTGGAAAGCCTTCAGCAGACTGGGAAAGTTGTTATAGTTGACCCTCTTGAGGAATTGTCTTGCTACACCAATCGCGGTTCGCTGCCAATCTGGACCTCGAACAAACGTCCCCGGCTCAGCGTTGTGGAGAAGATCTCCAGCTCCTGCAGAGGAAAGAAAAGAGCCAATCTCTGCTTCCCACTCAGAAGTTTTTCAGTTTGTGTTTTTACACTTGGAAAGGCTTTTTTTTACCCCATGGATCCACTGGAGGGGTATATCCAAATGTGTGGTCAGGTGGAACGGGAAGAGGAATTTTCCTCCTACCACGACTGGTGGATGGATAAAGTCAAACACCAGGTACTTTTGTTGAACATGAGGGAAATTAACCAAAGAACAACAAAAGCCTACATGCAGCTGGGGTTGCCAGTTTCCAATGCCAACTTTTCCTTGTTTCCAGATCTCTTCCAAGGAGGATGTGGATTGTGAAACCTGAAACAATATATTAATGGAGAAAAACATTTGAAGCTAAAAAGTTACTTGTCACACTTGTGGCTAAGGTTTGGTACAGAACTTACTTGTGTGATTCTCCTAACCAGTGCATAGTTTTGGCAGTATAACTGCCATTGTTGCAGTGGGGTGTGGGATCCCCAAACGTCTTGCCTTTATGGACGTCACTAAAATCAAACCCTCCAATGTTCATGGCTGAGAGTAAGCCAAATAGACATTATTTAAAAGTTTCACTTTGGAATATGCACAATTTTTCAACAAAATCAGAATAGTGACTCAAGATTGGAGCTTTCTGTCCCTCTTCACCTTGTAACTCCAACTCCTCTGCTGTTTTTGGAGGGAACAAGACTTCACCCATCTCATATTCTGGATGAAAGAGATGAGGGGCAAAATTAGAAACTTCACCAATAGCTATGATTCTTGCTATTAAGAGAGCTAACGCAACATTTTGGAGAGACTAAATACATAGAATACCTCTGTGGTTTGGCATTTTAAATTTTCTACATTTAAGGAGACAGATTGAGAATGAAAGGTTTCTTTCACACATATAAATTAGAAATAGACTGAAAATTAATTCAATTTTGCTTACATGAAAACATTTTTTTAATCAATCTTTGTAATTATGCTTTTTTTAAACACTTCTTTGAAACACAACATCCTTTATACGTTTGCATTTGTAGGCTTTAGCTAACGAACCACCCAATTGGAGAAACTTAGCTAAATTTTAAGTTAATGGAGTGTTTTCTAGACATGTTGTGCCATTTTATAGAACAATCAAGTAACTGAGTTAACTATAATTGTTACAAAAACGCAAGACCAAATATGATTTTACAGAAATTTGGCCTTCATTTGGGGCTTCTTCTCTTTTAGAAGAGCCTATTAGCCCTTTAATTTTATTTTATTTTTTAACCACCATTTCACTGAAAAGTAATTCCTATTTGTTTGCTAATTACTGCTGGCTAATCTGAAGGAACTGAGAGGGAGATTCTTTGAGATTTTGTGAGGTGGAAGCTGGGAAACTGCAGCTATAAGGAGGAGCTGCATCTTGGAGGCGGAGCTAAGTCCACCCAGTGTTTTGTACAGCAACAACGGTTGCCATGGAGATTAAAGGATTTCCACGAAAGAATCAACGCAACCCTTTAGGTATGTTTTTCATGAGGGAACAGAATTACAACATAATGTAGAGCTCAAACAAATTGATTTTACATGATCCTGCCCCTTTAATCGGACTCATTTAATTGATGTTAGGTGTGAACGGAAAAGGTCTAAGCAGTGAAACTGAACCAGAATATGCTTTGTCAAGTGTTACTACCCGCTCTCTGGTATTTGGAGCAAAAAGTATCATTAGGGAACATCAATTACCTCTAACTACTTTATCTCCAAATGTAGTTCCTTCGTTGACCCAGTCAGGAAACTCAGAAAACGGGGCCGGTGTTCGGCCCAGCAGAACTTTACTCGAAGCATAAACAGACTCTTTAAGTTCATTTATCTTGTGCTGGAAGATTGACTTGTCGGGAGGAAACAGCAAGTCGTTGCCCAGCTGGAAAAATCACACAAACATCCTGATCGCAACGCAGCTCAGAAAGACCAAGTTTTATTGTATTAATTATTTTTGCAGTGCCAGTTAGAAGCATCTTACTAAATTTCTCTGTGCTACTATCATGTAACAGACGCTAACAAACCTTACTATCAGTAAATGAAAGACATTCAGTGTGATCTCAAACTGGCAGCATATTTTTCGGAAAAGCAAAGGGATTAAATATAAATAAAGTCATAAAGTAACCAGTTTTCACAGATTAATATGATCTGAAAGAGGCCTAATCAAAAGAAATTTAGAAATCCCCCAAGAAAATGATTCCTGCACATTTTTCTTGACCTAAAATTTTGTTTCCATGCTTTTCTAAACTGTGAAGGAGTCCTGTGAGGAATTGTACCTAATAATTGTGTAAATTATGATGTACACATGGTGCAAATTAACCCAGGAAACCACCACTACACTGCAAAAACACACAATCTTACCAAGTAATTTTTGTCTTCTTTACAGTGAAAATATCTTAGAACACTTCAAATAAAATAAAACTGACTTGCAAGTAACTTTTCAGCAAGAAATATGAGTTTGTTTTAAGTCAATAATTCCTTAACATTGATGAAAAAGTACTAGAATATTTAACTTATAACAAGACATTCTCCCCTTGTTATAAGAGAAATAATCTACCAGGAACTAGTACTTTTTCATCAATGTTAAGGAATTAATGACTTAAAACAAACTCATGTTTCTCTTGTAAAAGTTATATATACACTATTCAAGTGGGCTAAGATATATGAAGAAGAAACTACACAAGAAAAAAATACTTGGTAAGATTTTGTGTTTTTCCAGTGGAAGGTTTTGTGATGTGCTTTTCTCACAGAGTCGGTTGCGTTGGTTCTGATGCCATGAACCATGGAGTTGATAAGCTCTGGGTCTACCACCCTCCATAAAGGCCGTTTGACGGGTCTTGGTCCTGCCCGTAAGGTGCTGCGGAAGTGCTTCACAAGTGGCGGCGTCGGGGGCTGATTGTTGAAAAAGTATAATGTGAGACATAAAAAAAAAACATGAATAAGTGTGTCTCAGATTATGAACCTCTGTCTTAGTATATTGTATGTAAACTTGGTGCAAACGTCTGCACAGTTTTGGTAAGTTATGCAGTTAATAATGACAAAAGAACAAATAAGATAACGACACGCAACACAGAAGGAGACAGGCAGGAGCGTAGCAGACAAGCTAAGGATTTTAAAGGGCCAAATGTGCCAGAATGTTTTGTATTGTATTAAACTATTAATAGTGTTTGTGACACTAATTTGCTGTGGTTTTTTTTAGAACTTTTTATTACTCGCTGTACAGATCATGGACTATCATCAGGCATCAACTAAAGCTGAGGCCGCTGTTTAGTGCAAGTAAGAACGTTTTTGACAATTTTTGAGAAAAATCTGCTATAAACTCCCAATTATGTACTCGTGCAGAAAGTGCAAGGATTTGTTGATTTTCAGTGAATTTTTATGATAATTTGCAAGAAACTGGAGGGACTGATTGATATAGTTTGGCAGTAGTCAGATAAAAACTGCATTGATTTGATTGATAACATAACATTTGGTGTTTAGTTGAGAATCTAGAGGGCCGCATAAAAACCTATGGCAGGCCGGATTTGGCCTTGAGTTTGACACGTGATCTAAAGCTATTTCAATGTTTCAGCAGTTTTGCAGCTTTCTGGAAGTTTATTCCAGATTAGAGAAGCATAAAAACTGCATGTTGTTTCTCCATGTTCGGTTCTGACTCTGAGTGATCTGAAAAGTTGATACGTCAACAGCAGATCTTTCATGTATTTTGGTGCTAAGCCGTTCAGTGACTTATAAACAAGCGAATGTATTTTACAATCTATTCTCTGACACAGAGTAAGTTCTTTCCCTACTTTCTGAGTTTTAGTGAGCGTTCTGGATAAGTTGCAGTTGTCTTACTGAATTTTTAGGTTGGGACATTGGTCCTTTAATTAATGTTCTTCAGGTGACAGAAGGCTGACTTTACAACCGTCTTTTTTTTAAGGTTCAGGTCTGAGTCCATCACTACACCCAGATGTTGGCACTGATCAGTAGTTTCTAGCTAAATATAAAATTGGAGCTAAATACGTGCAATGACTTTTGACTCTTTAGGTCCAAAGATAATTACTTTAGTTTGGTTTCTGTTCAGCTGAAGAAAGTTATGACACATTAATTTGTTGAATATTTGAATGGGTTCAGACTCACTTGGCGGCATTACAATGTCGAGTTGCATATCATCTGCATAGTTATGGCAGATAATGTCATTATTTGTTAAAATTTGAACTTGTGGGAGCCTGTAGATAAAATTGCAGGAAATTGAAGTTAAATTAAGCTGAAATTAAACTAAAGAAACACACACACACAGGCACACAAACTGACTCACACTGCTTGATCTCAGTATTAAAAAAATATCCAAACTTACATATGAAATCTCTTGTAGACAGCCCTTTACGGTGTGTTCAATGGGTCTTAGTTTCCTAGGTGGATACTAAAACAAATGAAATAAAGAAATACAAGTGCATCTCAGTAAATTAGAATCTTATCACTTAATTTATTTCAGTAATTCAGTTTAAAAAATTAAACACATAATACGATATGAATTTCTTACACACAGAGTCCTATATTTAAAAGGTTTCTTGCTGTTCATTATAAATAGTTGGCTTAAAACCCAAACTGTAGTTTGTCTGAAAATTTGAATATTCTATAAAGTAAACAAAAATGTATTTTAAATACAGATAATTTACGTCATGAGAATGTTATGTTCAGCAAATTGTTCTCAGAACTTATAAAGAGAATCAATAGAGTACAGACAAAAATAAGCCAAGAAATACAACAGCCCACAACATAAACAAATAAATGAAATGATAAAGTGTCCCCTTTTCAACAATAGAGGCTTCAGCAGATGTCCTGTAATACTGACTGCTACTGGAGATCCCTCCTGTCCACAGCCTTCAGCTTGTACAACAACTCTTGGAAGAAACTTGGGTAATATGAGTTAGTCGGCCATTCATGATAGCAAATTTTGCTGGACAATAAGTCATTTAAAGATGTTATTGTGATAAATGATAATATTGTGGGTTCTGATATTGTTTTCAAGTAAAATGGCATAATAATGCAAGACCACATTCTCAGAGATAAATAAACATTAAATTCTAATAAAAATTTAACATGATACTGCTTCCCCAAAAAAGAAAGCAACAGAAAAAACAAATAAAATGAATAATAGAGAATCTATAAACAAATGGAAATTATTGAGTTTGTTTTTAGTTTATCATTCGATTAATTGATTTATTTGTAATTGCCTCGTGACAATAATTAATTTCCCTTTGGGATAAATAAAGATTTGTTTAAAAAATGTAATTAAATAAACCCCAACAGTGCCACAGATTAGTATGACCATCCTGTAGGAAAGCTCATTTAAATAATTCATCAAGTTTGGCTTACCCTTGATGTGTTTTGGTGGATCAAATCTTGCATTAGCTGGTCTGAGGTTTTTTCTTCCGCTACATCCATCTTGCATTAGGAAAGCAACCCGGTTTGTTAATAGTCGCGTCTCCGGTTCAGCTAAAGCGAAACGTTTTGAATCGAGAATTTATCCGCCAACGGTTTTAAGTTCTGTTGCCTAGCAACGTCAGTTTCCATGTAAACTGAAGTCGCCACAAAATGTTTCCCCCTCCAAAAAAAAATGTTCCACTTGAACTACCTGTAGTTGTTATTTGTTTTTATTAACTCTCTCATTTTTTTATTTTTATTTTTTTATTTATTTATTTTTTTATTTTTTGTGGTTGTTGTTGCTGGAATGAATCTTTTTATTTAAAATGTGGATAAATGTGAACACTTGATTGGTCCGGGCCGCTGACACGCAGGCGGATTGTCAGTTGTAGTCATACGATCTGTCATCATCCTTCGTACAATGCGAAAAGGGAAGTTGAAAGAAGTGGGAGAGGGACGCCGCGGAGCCATACGAAATCTACCGATTCAGTACTCGTCCGGATCGTCGGCCCACTGTGAAGAGACTCTGAAGCGCTGCGTATAAATCGGCCCGGAGACAACACCCCCCTCCCCATTATCCAGGCTGTCCTTCTTTTCTTTTTGGTGAGTGGCTAATATTAGCGACCTAAATGCTAACACTGGAGGGCTCCTCCCGAAGCGGACGCAGCTAAACAACATTCACCCAGCTAGCCAACACTTGGTAGGGCCGTGCTGGTTAGCAGTGTAAATAAAGCTGCTCACTCGGGTGGATCAACACTAGCATCGTTGTTCACTTTTAATACAACAGAAATGCAGATTGAAATCACTGACTGATGAAGACGTTTGGCTACTTTTACCCTTTTTCGGACAACGTTAGCCAGCTTCCATTAGCTGTACACACCCAAACCTGCATCATCATCTGAGTTCTGACATTCAAACGTTACGTAAGTGTGTAAACCTGTAATACGCAACACTAACTGCGATTTAATATGTTTTTCACTGACTCAATCAGGTGTCACTGCTAGTTGATCGGGAGCTTGACAGAATCAACATATGAGTTAGCTGTGTTGCTAACGCTAGCTGTTTGCTAATTGAAGCTAATAACAGGTTATATGTGGTTATCCCCGATGTCGTAACGCGATTTCGGAGAAGTTGTTGGTAATTAGAGAGGGAAGGAGAGCTCTGTGATTGTCAAGAGGTAGTTTGTTGTTGTTACATTTTAGAGGGGTTAAAAATGTTAGCCTCAGCCATAACAACTTTTCCTAACTATGTTAGCATATTTGTCAAATATTTAAAAGGCCAATAGCTTTGAGAACTTGAGTCAATAATCAAGAAAGAGAAAGTAAACATTTAATTAAAATTGAAAACTCTAGACATTTGTTTTTAATCATTTAACCACTGTGGGTAACAGCAAATACAATAAAAATCAGTAATACACAACAAACATTGAATAAATCCTTGAAACAGAAAAATGTCTACTGAAAGAATATGATCAGTATATGCGTTGAAGACTTGCCCAGGGCTCCTTTTGCATGAATTACTGCATTAATGCCAGTAATTCATTAATGCTTTCTTATCTTTTTCTTGATCAGGGAGTTTGCTAACCAACCAAACAGGTATTGGAACATTTAGCAGTGTGAACAGGTGCCAAGTCCTCATGGAAAATGAAATTCAGCAAAATAAAACAGGATGTGCTCTAAAGTTCCTTGGTGTACTGATGTGCTGACTTTGATTTTGATAAAAACGTGTTGGACTAACATTAGCGCATTATACTGCTTCCCAAATGATTACAGATTGTGAAAACTTTTTACATTTAGTGTCTCCCCACTCTTCCTCCAGGCTCTGGCTCTTTTTGTTTCCATATAAAATGCTACATCTTTTTTCATCTGAAAAGTGACTGAGATTGAGCAACATTTTATGTATTCTCCTTCTTAACCCAGCTTAGGTGATTTTGAAAGTTGAGGAATCGCTATAAGCATCAAATCTGACAGTTGTATGAATTGTTCTGGATTCGTAGAACAACTTCCACAGAACTTTCCACGGAGTAGCCAGGTTTTTCAACAATTACCTTTTCATGAATTTCACTTGTGCAACTATCCAGCCAGGAGTCTTTCTAATGATAACATTTAATGTCTGTATCCAGAAATTTATTTTTGATATTAAGTAAGATTTTAATTTTCCCAGAATCAGAAGCTATTTTTGTATTCTGTTTTATCATCAACATCTTTCCAGTAAGACTTCATTTGTTTGGTACGATTATGATTTCTGTCCAGAGCATAGACTGGAAATACAATAAATATTTCACCCTCACAAGTCTTTGCTGTAATAATATTGCAGTTATTTTTATTTAATTTGGTCCTACTTTAATTTAATTGCTGAATCTCATTTAAATTGGTCATCTTCTTTACAAAAAGATACCTGGTTAAGATAGCACTGCTACTGTATGAATACATGTAATACACAATAAAACAGAATATTATTGTCATGATAGCTGTAATTCCATGTGCTGTGGTTTTGGTCCAGAATTTATTTAACTGAGAAAATGTCCCTGCCAGGTTGCAAAATCACAAACCCACTGAAAAAAGCCATGACTGCAGCCCATAGTATCAAACCTTGTCTTACCTAACCTAAGGAGGTTTTTCCTAATGTGTTGTCCAAACTTGTCCGATAATCTCCTTTACTCATAACTTAAATCCTGTCACAGGCATTGCTGGAGTTTTCACAGCTGCAGGATTTGGGGCCAACATAATGTTGCTGTTGGTGTTGTTGCTTCTGCAGAAATTCAATCAGTGCTGTTTGTATGTCACTGAAATACAGAAAAATTCAGTTCATTCATTTAACGACAGCTCACAATGAACACATTGTGGCAAAAAACAAAAGGACAAAAAGAAGTTTGGTTTTAATGAAAAAGACTAAATGAATTTTAAGCAGGTTTTGAAAGTATCAAATGTTGGTAATATAATATCAAAGGGAACAAGCATCTACAGTGAAATACAGGTGCAACTGCAGGAACAACAATGCCTCTTTTATTTAACTAAGAGTGAGTTCCTTTTATGTTATGGACAGGTATAAAAATGTTTAATTAAAAAATAAACAACAGGAATCCAGTGAATGGACCATTGAGGCACTGTGTTGCAATTTTAGAAGTGAAGCTGCCTGGCCTGTCGTAATAAGTCAATAAATCACATGGTAAATTAAAATTATTTGTCGTTTTTCTCTTTTCTCTCTTTCTGCCAAAAACTGCATGAAAAGTCTTCAGTCTAGTTAAGTGGTATCGACAAAAAATTTTTTAAGGAGCAATTTTGTGTACAGACTTCATAATTCATTTTATTTGTTGTTTCTGTTGTTTTGTTTGTTTATTTTTGATAATTAAACTGTCTTCTAGTGTTAAATGTTCTTTAGATTTTAAAGTTTATTGATTTTTGAGAATGTGTTCTTGCATTAGTATGCAATTTTTACCATTACGCTTCTTGAAAATGGTCTCAAAACAACAATAGTATCATTTATCACACTAACTTGTGGGACAATTTATCGTCTAGCAAAATTTGTGATTGTGACAAGGCTGAAAGCTGCTGCAGTTTTCAAGTTGAAAACAAGAAAACAGAGACTGAGATATTCTAAATCCGAACATTTGAGAAACAATGTGACATCATGAAGGAGCCGAGGTAGAAGAAAATGTTTTTTACAACTTGATTTATCAGTTTTTGTCTTTCTTCCTCTCTCTGTTTTGTAGGTGTTATTAAAGGTTTTTACCACCACATCAGCGCTCAGAACAAGAGACCACACAGAGTGACATGGCAAGTAGAGGTGGAGCCACGCGACCCAATGGACCTAACGCCGGCAACAAGATCTGCCAGTTCAAACTCGTGCTTCTAGGGGAGTCAGCGGTGGGAAAGTCAAGTCTCGTACTTCGATTTGTCAAGGGTCAGTTTCACGAATTCCAAGAGAGCACAATTGGAGGTACGTATGATGACGACTTCACTGCTTTTCACATGGGAATCAGTGATGTGGTGGATATTAAATAAGATTAATAACAAACAGCTGTCACAAGAGGCTCAGTTCCCAGTTATAAATCACAATCTGACCATTTATCTGACATTTATTGAGGAACAATATTACACGTTAAAGGAGTAGAAATATCTTTTTATTAAACCTTCTAAATATAGCTTACACACATAAATATTCACAGCATAATTCTTCATTTTTCCAAGTTTTTCTTTTCGGTTTTATTCACATTTGTTGCTCATGATAGTTAGATTCATCTATGTAAAAGCGAGCATAAGGCAGTAAAACTTGGGTGAAAAAAAGGTGATGTTACATTTGAAACATTCAAATTGAACATTATTGAACAACACAATGTGCATTCAAGTCAAAAGTTAAGATGGCAAAGTCTCCAAAAAGAAAGGAAGAAGCCAAGAAGAGGACAGTAGCTTGAAAACCAAACAAACCAGCACCTGGTGGAGAGATTTAAAAGTGCATGGTTGCTGCATATAATTTACCACAATGGAAAATGTGATACTAAAATTCTGGTAACATTCATGTATATTGTTGATGTATTTTCTTCTTTCACTCTTACTGGAACCGTTACTCTGATCAGCACAGATAGAAGGAGGTGACAGAAACTTGCTCACATAGAGTCACATTGCAGCTGTACTCAGACACTGGTCCAGACGCTCAAGCTAATTATCAGTTATCAAGTTTTCTTTTTAATTTATAAAAAAATGTTCTGACAGAGGATACATGAAAAGTAAAAAGGAAACAATTTCTTACCCACTACATTTTATGCTCACAAACAACATCCCCAGTTTCCTTCAGCTTACATGACTTGCTGTGTCATAAAGTGTTTCTAATCATAAAAGCCAACGTTTTTATGGTTCGCCTAACTGGCTTTACTTCTAAGAAGCTAACAAACATTTCTTACATTGATGATCTTTGTTGTAAAATGATTTGCTCATTCCTTGATTTGTCACTAATAAACATTTTCACATCCATTAAAAAGTATTTTATGAAGAAAATTATGTGATCTTCTGAAGAAATGGTAGCAGCTTTATTCTCAAATGTTCTCAAATGATTTATCCCTTCTCAAAATGGAAATACCAAAAATGATAGAGGTACACTTTGAATATTTTTAGATTTCCTGGTTCTGAAACATAAAGATGTTTGTTCTTAAAGTTTGACTCGTGTTTAGAAATCTGTGAGGAACCAAGAACCACAGAAATGCTGAGGTGAATTCTTAGACGTTTGCTCATAGTTTCAGGTATCGTTTTGTCAGGTGAAAGCTGTGTGTTGTCTATTGAAACGTAAACTTCAACCTCTTCCTGGAATTTGTGGGATGCAATTGAAAATTCTTCTTGAGTCCAGGTATAAAGGGTTTCAGGAGTAAATAGCTCCGAATCTCACTGCATCAAAATACAAAACAAGCCGACTGATTTATCTGAGCTGCTTTTCTTAATTTGGGGAAATCAGTGATCAGCCAAATCAGCACTGCAAAACACAAAATCTTACCAAGTAATTTTAATTTTTTCACTTATAACGTGAGAATATGTCTTGTTATACGTGGAATAATCTGCAAGTTAGTTTTCAAGTTTACAAAGCAAGAAACGGGACCAAAATTACTTGGAAGGTTTTGTTTTTGCAGTGTGTCCTCTTCTGCTCTGCAGAGGTTTGACTGGCAGACCTGCCCTTCAAGTCATATCTGCATGTTTGGCGTCAACAATAGTCACCCCACTGCTACAAACACACTATCTTGCTATAGTTAGCGACATTTCAGGCTAAAATAATTGACATCATCCAAAATGAGAATCAGCAATCGGTCAGAAAAATGCAATTGTTGCATCCCTAAAAAGCCACAACCTTAGTGTCAGGAAATCCTTTCACAGAAGTTAGTTTATCAAATCCTGGAGCTTCCATCTGGGTGTAAACACGGGGAGGCAAACAGCGCTGGCTCGCGTTACTTTGGCTCGCGTTACCTCTCTGCGACTCAGGGTGCCTTATCTGCTTTGTTTTTCTGCAGCTGCCTTCCTGACTCAGACAGTATGTTTGGACGACACAACAGTCAAATTTGAAATCTGGGACACAGCTGGTCAGGAGCGCTACCACAGTCTGGCTCCTATGTACTACAGAGGCGCCCAGGCAGCCATTGTGGTTTATGATATCACAAATGAGGTAAACCAGGCTTTTCTCTGTCGTCGTTTTGGTGTTGCTGCTGCTGCTACCTGTTGCTAATCTTTGCTTGCTTGCAAAGAAATGTTGTGGCATATGAGGAAATAGGCCTGGTGGGGTTTTTTTTTTCATTATCTATGTTTTTTTTAGCAGCATTCAGAAACTTATTTTTAAGCACTGAGAGATGAGTCACCATTGAGCATCACAGTGTTTATAGACTTTGTACACTTGACTTATTGATATCTGAAAGACTCATGTCTGGATGTTCAATAGCGTGACTTTCTTCACTGAAGGAGACTTTGAAAACACTCCATGTAGTTTAATCATTCAAAGTGAACACCTCACTCTCAGTGTGATTTGTTTTACACTGCAAAAACACAAACTATTTTTGGTCTGGTTTGTAGTGAAAATATCTTAGTAAACTTGACATAAGATGAAAATAACTTACAAGAAATAGACACATATCATATAGGACATTGGAGCTTGTTTTATCTGTTTTATTATTATTGCTTTATCAATAATAATACCTTATTATTGATGAAAAAGTAGTTGTTCAAGTGGCAGATAATTTCATTTATAACACGGGAAAATGTTTTGTTATAAGTGAAATAACCTACAAGTAGAACTAGTATTATTTTATCAATATTAAATAATTATTTACATAAAACAAGCTCATATCTTGCTGAAAAGTTACTTATAAGTTAGTGTTTATTCTTATTTCAGAGTAGTAAGATATTTGCAATAGAAACTAGACTAAAAATAGTTGGTTAGATTTTATGTTTTTGATAAGTCTTGTTTGTTTGCATAGCACATTTCAGCATCAAGCGTTCAAATGATAAAAACAAAACACAATAAAAAAAGAAGCATTGTATTACAGCAGCAGAATAAAGAGAAGTAATGAAATCCAGATCAGTTTTTTTAAACTCAGTGTTTCAGCATTTTTGCTGTTTTCTGGAAGTTTGCTCCAGATTTGAGAACTGAATTCTGCCTCTCCATCTTTCACCAAAACTTTCTGTCTCTTGAGATGTTTCTGTTTGTAGGATCAGTTTAATGAATTGTTCTTCTGGCCCTGTTTGCCATCATTTGGGCTTGCTTGTTATTTTTCTAAGTGAGGCGACCCTTACCCCTCTGTGCTCTGTTTTTCAGGAGTCATTTGTACGAGCGAAGAACTGGGTCAAAGAGCTCCAGAGACAAGCCAGTCCAAACATTGTAATAGCCCTGGCTGGGAACAAGGCCGACCTTGCTAGCAAGAGAGCTCTGGACTACCAGGTTGGTCCTCTTCCAACTTTAATTACTTCATTTGTGCTTTCTAGAAGATAAAACCATCAGTGGCACAGCTTCCTGCCATTTTAACATGTCTTTTTAAACAGTTTATTTAGAGTATTGTGGTTTTCTGTAATTGGTCATGATCTTTGGCAGGATGCACAGTCATACGCAGATGACAACAGTTTGCTCTTCATGGAAACTTCAGCAAAAACCTCCATGAACGTGAACGAGATTTTTATGGCCATCGGTAAGAAACTCCTCCTCACTTTCTTGTCATGTTGTGGCAAAGATTTTTAATGTATCGCATTTATGTTGAAGAAAACTGATTCAAATGTTATTTTTACTATTTTCTCCACTGTTTTTTTTTTTCTCACAAGGGAGTCAATAAATATCAGTGAATTTGAAAATATGATTAAATGAAGTCTCTCTGTGAAGTTTAGTTAAATAAATCAAACTTCTCTCAGTATATGACGTCTTAAGTTCAGACAGGAACTTTTATTTTTATGTGTTGTACAATTATCCAAAAAAGTAGTAACATATATTTTTCATCATCATTTTTATTATCATCACAATGATACTACAAAATATTGTGATAAATTGCATCATAACTGGATATTTTAGATCCTCAAGTCTTTAAATTAACACACTCTTCAAACTAAAAAGAAATTGTCAAGGGAGGATTCTTCACTATGATTCTCGAGGCCACAACATAACATTTCAAAAATAAATGTTTATTGAACTTTTGTAGTCTTGAGTCTAAAAGAACATTTTTCCCACATTGGGTTTTAATCCGCTGCAAGCCATGATCATAAAAAAATAAATAAATGCACTTAGTGTAATAAATCTGTATAATAAATTACATTTGGTTTTGTTTTGTTTTCTGTCAGACTTGTTAGTGTTTTTGCATTTAATGCTTTGTGGATTTCTGCTGCGATATAAGTCTTAAATTTCATTCATGAATGTCTTAAAAAGTCTTAGAGTTGATAAAACCGTGTTTGTAAAATAATGAATTCAGGACATTCCTGTAAATTAATCAATATAGTTTTTGTATTTATTATTAATCAAAACGTAAGCTTTGGGTCATTTTTGGGCAACGATTTGTTGATATCATTCGTGTAGAAACAGCTAAAGCCTAATCTTTATTTTTCTGAACTTGAGGGATTTTTTTTAATTCATACAATTTGAACGATTGTAATAAAAGAAAAATCTGATTCAGAGGAAAAGAGTAAATGCTCCCAACTTTGCTAATTATTTAAAGCTATTCAAGAGTTTATTCTTTGACGGGTTTCAGTGATTTATTATTTGATCCTTTTTTTTTTATTTCAATTCCCTGTGAACACATGTTAATTGTCAAGAGAAAATATCTGAGATGTTGGGAAGTGAATCCCAGGAAAAGCTACAATTTATTCCTTAAACTGTAGACAGTGAGTTTAATTTACGTTGTGGCCACGAGATGACGCTGTTGAGCTTGTAATGTCTTTTTTTTGTCTGCAATGTCACAAATGATGAAAAAAATGAATCTGAAACGAGTTCAGTATCTTCATATTCATTTATTTATCAAAATTATCAACATTTATAAAGCTGTTTCACCAGTTTTGCTTGTTTTTTTCCAATCTTATATAGTTTTATTGTTGTTTGAGCAAGAAAAGCGACTATTTTAACTGATCAAGGAGAATATTTACCAGAATATTTTTATTATGTCATAATATAAATGTAGGATTTGGAATTAAATTTTGGTTTTAGATTTGTTCTACCCTTTATGCTGCAATTCTGATAATGTTTTTTATGTTTTCGTGTATTTTTGACATGTGGAATAATCTGAATAATATTCTGATAAAAGCAGTTCAGAGTTCATTCAACTTTAAATAATATTTAAACTGGTTAAATTTTTTCCTCTGTGGATTATTTTAGCTCTATTGAAAGCAATCAATCAATGAATCAAGTTTATTTGTATATCACAAAGTGCTTGACAGTATAAAACTCAAAACTACACAGTCATAAAATACACCATACACCACTGCAAGTGTTTATCAAGAAAAATAGTTTGCTGTTTTATTGTCTTTGCTTGTCATTCAAGCTGGACTTTGACTAGGCCACTGCAATTTTAATTATCAGCCATTCTGCTGTTAATTACCACCATAATCCCCACTTTATGAACTTTAACACTTAATAAAGGACTCTTTATTTCTTTAAGTTAAGTGGGAATTTTGGTATTTTAGGGACCAAAATGACAACAAAAAAATCAATCGAGCAAAATAATTTTTTTTCATATCAGTTTCTTTCAATTAAAAAGAAAGAAACCTGCAGATTTCGTGAAACTTTAACAAAATCTGCAGGTGTGTGTCTGTTTCCAGTGAATTTTTAGTTAAAATTCAATCTGTGCGTAAAAAATCCACAAGTAAGAGTAGAAATGCTTCATAATAAAATTACTCAAGTGAAAATAAAAAGTACAAAGTAGTAAAAATACGCTGAAAATTTCAAAAAAGTTACTCAAGTAAAAGTAATTGAATAAATGTAAGTAGTTTATATCCAAATCTGCCATTGTTCTAAATGTTCAAACATCTTTTTGTTAAGATCCACTTGTTTTTTTAAATTAACAACTCTTGGGGGGGTTTTTAATAGAATTGCGCAGAATGATGATGATCAATCAATCATGTGCAACTGATGATTGATCGATCATTGACGCAGCAAAGGGTGTACTTACTTTATCCTCATGGCTGTGCTCAGCTTTCTCACAGATTTTAAACACATCCCTTTAAAAGCAAACCGAGTAACTTTTGTTTGTCCAGCTTTACGGACTTGGCCGAGGCTCGGCGTCATAAAGCCGCTTTACAAGCTCAGTTATAAAAACTGTGAAATCGCTCCGGAGCGAATGTCGTCTCACACTGTGGCGTTTTATGGCAGCGCTCAGCTTCTATGCACCACAAATCTGGAACAACCTTCCAGAAAACAGCTGAAATGCTGAGCTCCTTGAAATCTAGACTAGAAACCCACCTGGTAGAGTTGAAACATAATCAATGAAACTTTTTGATGTGTAACGCCACTTGACAAAATCTGTCCTCTGTGTGTGACTTTATACTGGTAACATGTACAAAATAAAATTAATTATTTTTATTGCTTTCTTCATAACTGATAACTTTGAGATGTAAAACACTTCAGAGTGTCTTTGTTTTTTGCTCAGATGTGCATTACAAATAAAAAAGGCAACAACAATTTTTGTCCTTACAATATAAACAATTTCCACTTACCTTTATATCTGTCAAAAGTATAGATTGACAAAAAAGAAATAGAGTCGCGTGTTAAAGTTTATAACAGGACATTTAAAAAAAATAGACAAATGTAAGCTTGACGTAAAAATTACAGCTGATGATGAATAAAACTGAAGTGTATTACAGTGGCCTAGTCAAAGTTTAATGTGTGATGTTTTAGTGCTTTTTTAAATTTTGTAGTTTTTATTACTTATTAATTTTTTTATTTTATTATTTATTTTGTGATTTAATTTTTACTTTATATTAATTACAATATTTTCATTTATTTTTATTTTTGATGTGTGTGTTTTTTACTTTGTATTTTTGTGTTGTATGACGTAAAGCACTTTAAACTGCCTTGTTTATTTGTATTTGTGCCTTTCAGAAAAACTTGATTTATTCATTTGTTTATTTCTCCACAGCCAAGAAACTTCCGAAGAACGAGCCGCAGGCCGCCGGAACCAGCAGCGGACGGAACCGGGGCGTGGACCTGACGGAGTCGGCTCAGCCCAGCAGCCGCCCCTGCTGCAGTAACTAACCCGGGTCCTCCTCTTCGTCCTTCTCCTCCTCCTCCTCTTCCTCCCGGCTCCACCCAACAGCATCTGGAACGTCCGACCCGTTTGGTTTCCAGATGTGCGACCCGCTCTTCACCCTCACCTTCCTGAATTAGCTAAAAGACTCTGTATAGCTGCATTTCTAATACCTTTTGTTTTGTTTTTTGTTGATGTTCTTTTTTTTTTTGTTTGTTTTTTAACTTTTTTTAAGAAGTGTATATCAGTATAACGGATGCATGTATCACTACAACTCCTAAAGAAAAAAACAAAACACATTTTTATCTTTTATTCAGTTTAAAGACTAACTTCCCTTTTCAGAAAGACGAGAAAGCGAGATACCTGTGAATGTGTGTGAGAGGGTTAGTTTCACTATAGTAGTCTGTTTTTTTTTTTTGTTTTTTTTTGTTTTGTTTTTTTTTTTTTTTTGAATATCCTAGAAAAATCAAATTGTTCCCATGTTGCTCCACTCCACTGACTGTTTGTTTGGAGCAGCAGTTGAGTTGCCAGGAAAGGATCCAGCAGCTCTTCCCAGGAACAAATCTTCATCCGAGATCCAAGTCTTCTTCTGGGAGATCCGGGGTAAAGCGCTGTCCAACTTTAACACAAAGTTTAAAAGAATAAAAAACATAAATCGGGAAACTTCACTTTGTTGCTCATATTAATGACAGAAAAAAAATTTAAGTGTTAAATCTACTCTGAGGCCAGTAGTCAACCTCCATCAATCTAAGTCTGTGTTAAAAATAAATAAAAAAATGGAAAAAAACAAAAGAAAACTGATATACTCTAATGTTTCATAGGGTGCAATGTCGTCTTCTTCCTTTATTTCAGCTCGTCTGGAAGTTTATTTAGAGACTCCGAACAATTGTACAGTTGAATATTTTGCCAATCCCTCTCTTATGTTTCCTCTTCAAGCTCCATGTTTTTACAGAAGCTGGTCAGATGTTAGGCAGTGATGGTCTCTTTAGATATATGTAGTGTTATTAACAAAATCTCTCTGGTGTCTTGTCACTTTCTCTTTTTTTTTTCCTATTATTATTATTATTTTAAATAATTTTTTTTTCTTTCTTTTCCAAAAAAGAAAAACAAAGAGAGAAAAGGTCCATGGTGGTGTTTGAAAGGAACTTCTTTTATTGCATTGCACAGTGTTGATCATGTTTTAATTATTGATAACTGCCCTTGGGTTTTTATATGATGGACTGTATTGGATTTGCTAACCTTTCGACTGCGGGCGGGGAGCGTATTTAATCTTAACTGGTGGTCTCTCTTGCAGCTCAATGAATTTAATGATGTAAAAACAGCATTACTAGTGATGGGCTGATCCGTTTTGAGTGTCTGAATCTTAATAAATCCAATAAAATGGTCTCTTGTATGATTCTTTGTCTGGAGATCAGTGGCTCTACTGGAGATTCTTTTGCTGTTTTTGTTCCAATTAAATTATTTTTGATATCGAAAAACAATTAAATATAGAGCAAAGCAATCTGAATACGTAAAAGTATTTTTTTCTAGAAAATAAATATAAATCACATACACCAGTTTTACTCCATGTGGAAATGTAATCATATCTCAGATCCCCACACCACCAGGGGGCCCCCAAGAGCAAAACACAGTTATATGTATTGCTGAAATAACACTTAAACACTACTCTGCATTTCAAAATATATTTTTTTAGTTTGCTACTCCTGTAAAGTTAAAAATTAAGAGCCATAATAACACTGGTGTGATGTAAGCTAAATATTAATCGTGCTAATAATTAGTCCTGTCATGATAACAGATTTTGGTGGACAACAAATTGTCCCTGAAGTTAATATTGTTGTTTTGACATAATTTTCAACTAATATAGTGGTAATATGGCATAATAATGTGAGAATAAGATGTAAGTTCTAATAAACATTTAACACAGGAACTGGAAGACATTTTAAATATCCCAAATAAATAAACAAAACAACAACAAAAAAGAATTATAAAAATAAATCTGTAAAAAAAAAAATGGCTATAGTTTAAACCAAAACACCAGACTGAAGATTTTTATTATCCAGTTTTTGGTAGAAAGAGAGAAAATGGAAATTACTAATACATTTTAATTTATTACTCACTGCAACAGGCGTACTAATGTCATTCCTAGTCTAGAGTAGCCTAGGAATAATAAAGCGTCTCGTGTTGACATTTTGGGATGAGAAGGCCCCAAATGAAAATCATTTTAGGGCCCCAAAAAGGTTTGGACTGGCCCTGGACAACAGCCAAACAAACAGAACGGAAGAGAGAAACTACTAAATGAGCCTCCAAGTCAAAAATATAAGCAAAATAAAAGTGAGTCAATACTTTTTCAGCACTGTAAAACATAATTTAACTCTAATTTGCACACACAAAAAATTTTTTTATTTAAACATCACATTTTGTAGTTCAAAGAGCTTCTTTCAAATGAAAATTACATTGAAAATAAACCTGAGCACTATTTATTGCCACCACTGGTAAAGTTTTGTATATATATAAAAAATTAAACTAATTAAATCTTTTAGTCAAATTAGCTCTAATGTAGAAAAATATAACTTTTAATTTGAGTTCTTTAAGTGGATCATAGTGTTTTCTTTATTTAATAATCAGTGACTTTCTGTTTTGTTGTGGATTAATATTGATGTCAGGAATATTTTCTCTTTGCTGATCTTCAAAATGGAAAAGACATGAAAACATACCTTGAAAGAAGCATGTAGATAACAAACTACTTTTCTGCCCTGCCATTACAAACATAAACATGCAAATTTTGTTAAGCTGTACTGGTATTTTAGCTAAAAACCATGTGTTTTGGTCACATGTTGGATATGTTGAAAACATAGAAAACTCAATTATGGTGAAGAATATGTAATAAAACAGGCCTGTTTCTTTTCTGAAAGTTTCAGGGAATCTTGTTGGAGTCCATAACAAACTCTGAAATATTACATTTGACATAGAAATTTGGTCGACTGGTACGATATGCCAAGGACAGAATTACATTACAACATTTAAAGCTTACTTCAAAGCAGTTGGAAATCCAATCATTTCACCCAGAGACGGATAATTCAGAGCTGGAAAACACTAAAGATAACTATCAACCCTCCCACGAGTTTATTGCATTTAATTGGAATAACTATCTGTAAGAAAAACACACTTAAAAACCTCTTTTGACGTCAGTGTGTCAGTCCTTATGCACACATTTTCCAGCGTCTTGCTGGTTCTCGTTTCTCTCCACTGCTTGTTTCCATCTTCTTGCCTCTTGACACATTTCCCATCCTCAGAGGCCACATCAGACGAATCATCTTCTCAGCTCCGAATCAGCCAAATCGCATGATAGCCAAGAGTCAAAACACTCTTTCCACAGCGTAGTAAACAGACCACACACATACACACACAACACCGAGCTCTTTACAGCACAGCTCATCTCTAATGTGGATAAAACCTCTTATAGCTTTGATTATGTTCAACTAGACAGAGCAGCGATGCACGGCTGATTGAATAACATTACCCCACAGTCGCTGCATTACGTTATTTGCGGGTTTGCCATCTCATTAGGTGGAGTTATTACTTTGGGGGATTGCAGATTGAGCAGCTGATGCCGTTTATTTCTACAAACTTACACAGTGAAGTTGGATTTGATTTGTTTTTTAAGCCTGGACTGCAAAACACAAAATCTTACCAAGTATTTTTGGTCTAATTTCTAGTGTAAATGTATTTGAAACTTGAAATTAGACAAAATTAAATTACAAGTAACTTTTCGGCTTATTTTAAGTACATAATTCCTTCATTTTGATGAAAAAGTGCTTGTTTCATTGGTCATGTCTTTACTCTCTTGCATTAACTTTTCACTTATTCTTGTGTTCTAAATTTTTGTTTATTTTCTGGAGTTAGTTTTGTTCTCTGTGTTTTCTGGATTAATTAGTCTCCTCTACTTTGCACAAAATTATTCTTATGTATTGAGATTTGTACTCTGTCCAGTTCTACCTATTTAGTGTTGCTTTAAATCCAAATAATCTGTTGCTGGCCACGCCCCCCAACACAACGTTTACACTTGCATGTGAAAATAGCTGCGGCAGATGCTCAATTATACAACTGTAATCGTTTCTTTTAAACTGTCTTTTAAAAGCATTAGTGGAGCCTCCTGCACAACCAACAAGAACGCAGGATGATAAGTTTATTTATCACACAAATGTAAAATGTGGAAAACAAGAAACACTTCGGTTTTATTAAAACTGAAGTGTTTCAGTTCAGTTTGGTGTCAGACTCACTTGGTGCTAGAAGAAGTTTTTTTTTGTTGTTTTTTTCTGCCAGCTGACCAACCTTTTCTTGAGCGGACTGCACTCCTCTTATAGATTGGCTTTTGATCGGCAGATAGCCACATGCCTGGCTGTGCAGCGGTCTGTAATTTTATCTCTAGAGGAGAAAAATCAGAGTGCATCTCCTCTGAAGATATCGCAGCCTGTAAAAGTGAGTTTAGCCGTTGACCTTTCCCTGGTTTCTGTGGTAACGGAACCGTTTTCCCGTTTCTTTCATCTGCACAGGATGCGCCATTCCTCTGACCTCTGCAAACTGTTAAAATTAGAGGTAAATATTGTGAGAATAAATACAAGTTTTGATAGAGAATTGCAAATCTATGGGTCGCTGAAGAGCTTTTTCTGTTTTTTTTATTTTTTCTTCATTGCCAGAAACTTTCAAACTATCAGTTCAGTTCATTCCTGTAGCTTCAAATTATTCACGTCATCTCAATGCACTTCACACAAAAAATTGTTCACTTAGCTTTAATTCAGTTTTTAATTAATCTAATGAGTAGCACGTAATTGTAAAATTGACTAAATAAATTGTGATTTTTTAACCATTCTGTAACAATATATTTCTATTATTGTAATTGAGTGATAAAATCCAACAGTTTGATAAACAGCCCACTTTTGTGACTTCAATCTGTTTGGGAACATTAATGAACAAACAGTATGGTGAAAACAGTGAGAGTTAAGTCTTAAATTTGTACATTAGTAGTTGTGATGAGACAAAATGTGACTTTAAGTGGTATTAATGTTTTTGTTGAACTGTGCCTGTGTCTGTCACAGCCAGAACTACAGAATACTGGCTCCTTTAAGAAGCTTTTGTCTGAATTCCTGAGGTGGAAACTATTTACGATTCATTCAAATGTAGAAATTTGACCAAATGTAAGACATAGTGAATACATTTCATTGTGGGAGTAAGCCTTTCCTTCAGCAGAGCAATAAATTATGTCAGCACTGAGTCTTAGAAACATCAAACAGCGCATTTCTGGTTTTAATTTGTCATCTTGCCTTTCAAATGGAAAGCAGCAAGTGGGATTTTCTGTATGGAGTCTTATGCAAATTTATGCAGTGCATTAAAAACAAGGTTTTATATTTCCAAAACTGTGCTTGGCTTTGGATTTAATTTATTTTACTTTTGTTTCAGAACCTCTGACAGTAAATATATCACATATACTTTGATCGAAATTTCACCAGTTCAATTTATCATTCACCAGGAACAGTATTTGTTAAACATGTTTTCAGAACATGTCAAATATTCCACAGTTTATGTTTCTGGCTCATTCTGTTATTTTTTCCACCTAATACATCCATTTAACATGAACCTCTGTGCCAAAGTTCAACTCGGGTGTTTATAAATGTATTAAGACTGAAAAATAAATGTTATATAAATATTCAAATCCTTCACTCATTACTTTTCTTAATTATTGCAAGCTTGAAAGGACCTTTTCTTTTGACGTTTTGTTATTCTTCTTGGCAGAAAACTAAACCAAGTTGGTTTGGGAACGTCGTGGCTCCAGCTGTGACTCATTCAAGTCAGTCCATGAGTTTTTTCCTGATGTTGACACTGAGATGAACGAAGTACATGCTGGCATATAAACAAAGGCAATGTTTTTCAAAGTGAGGGCCGCAAGGGGGCGCTACGGGGCAGTGAGACAGAAGATGAGAAGAAGAAAATGCGAAAATAAGGAAATAAAATTAATAAATGGTTAAATTATGTTTTTTTTTAAATCACATTTGTTTTTAATTGGTTAAAATTAGTTATGAAAATATTATTTACCACGCTAATCTCTCTGATTGGCTGCCGGTTAAATTTATCCAGATGCTTTGCTCCTTCGGCTAGCTAGCATAGCTAGCACGCGTTAACATAGCTAGCAACGGCTTGGCCGGTTCTTAGAAAGCTTTCAGAGGAAAATTCTTTCGAAATAGTTTTTATTATGTGGCAGAAAAGCACAAAACGTTTAATAAAATGCCGTATTATTGTGTATTTATTTTGAAATCTCTAGAATCTGTCGAACGTGACATCATCAGTGATTAGCCATTGGTTAGCCAAGTGTCACTATGACGTCATGTG